GGCACCAAACCTTCCGCCGGGCCAAGCCTTTATCCCACCGCTGGCACCAAACCTTCCGCCGGGCCAAGCCTTTATCCGACCGCTCGCACCAAACCTTCCGCCGGGCCAAGCCTTTATCCCACCGCTGGCACCAAACCTTCCGCTGGGCCAAGCCTTTATCCCACCGCTGGCACCAAACCTCCAGCTGGGCCAATCCTTAATCCCACTGCTAACACCAAACCTCTAACTGGGCAACCTGCATCCCTGACAGCTTGGTATTCAGTGCCTGCACACCACCATGCTGTCCGCCTCCAGGAACCGCTATCCCACAGTGCCTGAGTGATTGCTGCCAGCTCACAGTACCATGGGTTCGCGCCCACGTCCCCAGCCCCCTCGGGCAGAGGCGTCTGGAATGGCTTTAGCCCAACTTTCGCAGGTGTGCTGTTTGTCTGAAACCTGGGTGATTTTCCGGCAAGAACACGCCACTGGAAAAGCATCTCGGCATCAGGGAGCTGTGGAGAGCGGCTGGTAAATTCCCCTTTACATTTCAAACCCCGTTGGGGGGCGGCTGTGTCAATCTGAACTTTATCCAGCACCTAACGCATTCTCGGCAGTACCAAATAACCATCAGTTGATATTAACAAATAGATCACAAACTTCAGCTTTTAGCTGGTCTGAACGACCTAATTCAGCATCCATCTAGCAGCCAGAGAGGTTCAATGCTCTGCTTAATACTTCCCGGCGGCGGTAATCTTCGAGCACGTAGGCCTAGCTTGGTTTTACCCCCTAGATCCGATTCTCATTAAACCCTCTCCCCCGCCCCCGGGCTTTTATCACGCCTTCCCCTGCAATAAACATAACTGTGCTGATGAGACAATACTAGTCATTGCTAGCTCTTCCAGCAGCAGTTCGCAACGCGCTGCACCAAGGAGGGCGGTAGCACGATCCCCATTTCACACATGGGGAAACTGAGGCACGGAGCGGGGCGGTGACTTGTCCAAGGTCACCCAGCCGGTGAGTGGCGGAGCCAGGGATAGAATCCAGCCAGGCCACGCTGTCTCTCTCATTTCCCACTCAGGGTTTAGCTGTCTCAGCCGGTACTTGAGTGTCAAAGCTCGCTATTGTACAGCTGGGGAAACTGAGGCACAGAGTGACTCGGGCCAGGTCTGCGGCGGGAAGTTTTGGCAATGCCAGTGAGGAGAGTGGTGGTTGGGTGCGATTTCTATAGTGGCAAAGGCTCCCGTGTCCACGCAGCGCTATCAGCGTAAATGCCCTTTTACCGGGTGTGAGGGGATCCCTGGGGTGGGCCCACTGTGCCCCCTTGTCTCACTATCCTGGGGGTTGTCAATGCCTTACTGGTAGCAAGCACCAGGTGCTGTTAACACTCAGTACAATGGCATGTGGAGTCCCGCACCCAGCTAGATTGCATGAATCCCGGAGCTACTCACGAATCCACCCAAATCCTCCCAGCCTTGTATTTTAGGAATAGCTGGCACTGCTCAAGACCCTTTCTCGAGCAAGGTGAGTTTATTCTGAGTCACCACGTCAGCAACGGAAAGTGGATATACCCCGGCCTTTGGAAACTTAAGCAGATGTACCAAGCACTCCAGTCCAAACTCACTGGGAAGGAGAAACAGTAAATTGATTACAAAAAGAGAGATTTAAGTCAGGGGTTCTCAAACTAGGGGTCAGGACCCCTGAGGGGGTCGCGAGGTTATTACATGGGTGGTCGTGAGCTGTCAGCCTCCACCCCAAACCCCGCTTTGCCTCCAGCATTTATAATGGTGTTAAATATATTAAAAAGTGTTTTTAATTTATAAGGGGGGGGGTCACACTCAGAGACTTGCTGTGTAAAAGGGTCACCCGTACAAAAGTGTGAGAGCACTGATTTAAGTGATTATAAGTGAGAGGCAAAAAGTCAGAGTTAGTTACCAAGGAAATCTCAATCCTAAACCTGTAAGACACTGGGCAGGATTTCGATCAAGCAGTTTTCTCACCCCACTGGATGGCCCAGTTCATAATACACAGGTTTCCCCCTTGAAACCTGGGCCAGACCCCCCTGTTGAAGTCTTCAGTCTTCTGAGTGTTCTTGTTGCTTGCAGGGTGCGTGGGGGAAGGAGAAAGGTGAAGCCCGGGACCCCTGTGCTCTGTTTTATACCCTAAATCCATGTGCTTGGAGAACGCAAGTCCAGGCATGGCTGGGGGGCATGGCTGAGTCGCCAAGTAGGACGACCAAACAGCAAGTGTGAAAAATCGGGACAGGGGGCGGGGGGTAATAGGAGCCTATATAGGAAAAAGCCCCAAATATCGGGACTGTCCCTATAAAATCGGGACATCTGGTCCCGCTATCTCCAGGCAAGGTTGAGCAGTTCCCCTGGGGTGGCCTCATGCAGGGGTGAGTCACTGCATTGTAGCTCCCTTGCTGGACCATGGCTGTTCGACACCCGCCCGGGCGTTGGTTACTTTCCTTGTTCGCTCTCTGGGGGGTTAATATCCGGGCGATTCCCCAGCTCACGGCATGTTTTAGTGACCACCATACAGCACTTGGTCATAACTTCATAGGCACCAGTGAGATACGTATTTAGAGAGAACAGTGGCTTTCAGCAGATCGTAACCTTTCCCGTGATACCTCCCAAGGCCTGCTTTAGAGCGGAGTAGGCAACCTATGGCCCCCGTGGCAAAAAGTGGCACGCGAGTTGCTTTTCGGTGGCACTCACTCTGCCCGGGGCCTGGCCACCGGTCCAAGGGGCTCTGCATTTTAATTTAATTTTAAATGAAGCTTCTTAAACATTTTAAAAACCTTATTTACTTTACATGCAATGGTTTAGTTCTATAGTCTAGACTTCTAGAAAGAGACCTTCTAAAAAGGTTAAAATGTATGACTGGCACGTGAAACCTTCAGCCAGAGTGAATACATGAAGACTCGGCCCACCACTTCTGAAGGGCTGCCAACCCCGGTAGTGAAATATCACAATTCTCTATAAATGAGGAATACGGGGTTTATAGGGCGCTCCCCTGAGGTATAGAGTGTCACGCCGAGGTAGCTTATTTCACTTGGTGAAGTGGGAGAAGCTCTACCTGCTATGGCAGGCTTCTGCTGGTATAAGAAATTGAGCTTGGGAGCCCAAACCACTGGACAGCTGGGGCAGGGCTGTTTATACAGGGATCCTTCACCAGCTGCTCAGATGCAGCTGTCTCTGGGGTGGGGCGTGGCAGCTGTTCATACAGGGCTCTCTCACCCGACACTGGGATGCAGGCACAGCAGCAGTTAACACAGGGATCCCTCGCCTGGGGAGTTGAGATGCAGCTGCCTCTGGGGTGGAGCCCAGGGGCTGTTTATACAGGGAACCTTCGCCCGACGCTAGGTTGCAACCACCTCTGGGGTCAGGGTAGCACTCAATAAACACTGGCTTTGGTATACCACAGGGGAAGGGGCAACGGGGGCTGAGGCCAAGAAGACAGGCTGTAGGCTCACAGGAAGCACCAGAAATTCTTTAATGCCACTGCTCAGGTCCCATCTTGAATGCAGCCTCACAGTTCCCCTGCAACTATCACCCCACTGGGCAACTGGGGAAACTGAGGCACAGACCTGACATGCCTTGACTCAGTGTCACAGACAGAATCAGAAGTGCAAACCAGGAGGGCTAACCACGAGACCCCACTCCCTTCCCAGAGCTGGGCATAGAACCCAGGAGTCCTGGCTCCCAGACTGCCCCACCCCCACTCTAACCACTAGACCCCCACACCCCTCCCAGAGCTGGGCATAGAACCCAGGAGTCCTGGCTCCCAGCCCCCCGCAGTGAGACTGACCTGACAGGCCTCACCCAGTCCCCGCTTTGCCCCCAGGGCACAGAGAGGGGCCACGGCTCTCCGCTCCCAGTGAATCCAGCACCGGCTTTTGCCTGGGTACTGCTGTCAGACCCCGGGAGAACAGAAACCGAACCGCGCCCTCCCCCGCCCCCCGGCTGCCGGCCCATCCATCAGTCCCGCAGCTGCACGGAGACGCTGCTGTCTGTCGCTCTGGTGCGGCAGAGCCCGGCCGGCGTCTCGGCGTCCAAGGTCCGGTGCTGGAAATGGACGTAGCGCGCTCCCGGGCCGTAGCCATGGAAAACATGGGAAACCTTCGAAACGGGGAAAACATCAGGACCTGAGCCCACGGCCCCAAAGAGACACCGAGCCCGACCCAGCGCTGCATCTTCCCCACCCCTGGCGCCCCATCCCAGTCCCCATCTCCCTCTGTGCTCAACCACCCACTGGGCAACTGGGGAAACTGAGGCACAGACTTGACGTGCCTTGACTCAGTGTCACCAACAGAATCAGAAGTGCAAACCAGGAGAGCTAACCGCCCACTGCACTGGCAAGGTCCAATCCCCCTGTGACCAAGTGGGAAGCAGCTGTAATATTTGCATGATGCCGATGCATGCCTCAGTTTCCCTCAAGTTATGGGCCTGCCTCAGGGGGTCCTTGGGGCCTGGCACGCTAAGGAGACTGGGACCTAGCCCAGACATTGTGTATCCAAGTCACCCCTACCCCTGCTACTCCTGAGTTGTCTTGCTCCCCTCCCTTCCCGGGGCGGGGGGGGCGCGTCTCCCTTACATGGCACCAGTTCTTCTCCCGGGATGCCCCGTGCTCGGGGCCCTGGTGGTGGAATTCCCGCAGGGGCGTCTGCCCGTCGGCGGCCAGAAGCCGGACGTGCAGCTGGTACACGGTTTCGGCCAGCCGGCTGTCTTCGTACCTGCACCGGAACAGAGGGCAGGTAACATGAGCCATCCCGCCCCACCCCGCTGCCCATATCTGGGGTGAACCGGGGGAGTTGGTCCCCATTACCGGGTGGGAACGAAGGGCGGGAGGGGGATGCTCTAAGGGAAGAAGCTCAAGAAATCCCATTTCTCTCTGGCAAATAGAACAGCTGTGACCTAGTGTTTCATCAGCAGAACTCACAGCGCCCCCCAGAGGGGGGCAGTTTCATGATCCTCATTTTACAGGCAAAGCCTAGGCTAGAGGGAGGCAGGACTCCTGGGTTCTGTCCCCAGTTCTGACGGTGGGGGGTGTCTAGTGGTTAGTGTTGGGGGGAGTCAGGACTCCTGGGTTCTCGCCCCAGCTCTGGAAGGGAAGTAGAGTCTAGTGGTTACAGCAGAGAGGATGGAGAGCCAGGACTCCCAAATTATCACAGGTGGGGGAACTGAGGCACAAGAGAAGGGACGGTCGCCCAGGAGGCAGAGCCAGGAATAGAACCCAGGTGTCCTGATTCTCAGCCGAGTGCCATCCCCGCTGCCCTACGGTCTTTCCTGCCCCATAGCCTGGACAGTGGCTCTGCGCAGGGCAGTGGGAAAGGACGATGCGCCCCCCCCCTTCTGCCCAACCAAGGGACTGCACCCTGGCCAGCACCCCCATGGGATCCAAGACAGGGCTCAGATCTGGCCCGGGGGAGGGGAGATGTGGAGGCAGCGATTGGGACCCGCCCCCCAGAGCATCCAAAGAAGAGCCGGTACCAGTCCATGACGGTGATGTTCGGCTGGTAGGAGTCCAGGAGCTCTTCCCACAGCCCCTCGGCCAGCAGGTCGACCCGCTGCTGTTTGATGCACCAGCTGCAAAGAGGGGGAAGGAAAAGGATCAGGGAGGAGCAGGGCAGCCAGGAACCGCAGGGGACGGGCATACAGGGCAGGGAGCATCTTTCCGTTCTGTGTCCGTACAGCGCCTGGCACAGTGGGGGCCTGGGCCACGACTGGGGCGCCGAGGAGCTACCGTAATACACCTAATAGCAACGACAACGTACAGCGCCTGGCGTAGTGGGGGCCTGGGCCACGACTGGGGCGCCGAGGAGCTACCGTAATACACCTAATAGCAACGACAACGTACAGCGCCTGGCGCAATGGGGGCCTAGTCTATAACTGGCGTGCCTGGGTGCCACGGTAAGCCAGCTAATAAATAAGACTCATCATTCTTCACGGAGGCTGCTGGATTCAGACCCGCCCTCTGGTTCCCT